GTTTGAAACCCCCCCGCCCCAAAAAAAAATTTTTTTTCCCCTCCCCCCCCCTAACCAAAAAACCACCCCCTTTTTTTTCCCCCCCCCCCCCCCCCCCCCCCCCCCCAGACTTTTGCTTCCCTGTAAATTCTTATCCCCCGCCATCCCCGGATTTTTGGTGTCTCCAAGAAAATTTCACGGTCTGGCAAACAACCCCATGTTACACCCATCCAGTTCAGTTCATGAGGTTCCGACGATTTGCATATACGAGTGTGCGTTTTCTATTGTGAGGGTTCGACAGGGAGGAGCAGGGTTGTCAGAAACTCCAACCAAAGGTTGGCTCCATGCTTCGAAATGAAGATGAGTGCACCTGAACCTATCCATCAGCAACGCCAACACTTGGGGCGGCCCTCCCAGTCAACTTCGGGCCCGTTTGGATGTATGTACAGATGTGATGAATTTTCGTTCCTGCTCTGATCCGTCAAAACGAATTTTGGTTTTTTTAACTGTTTTCAAATGTTGCTTCTTTCAGATCCTTTATTTAACATCGATACGCCCTATGACGAAGCTCCCGCGCTTCCACCGGGGCCCTCTCTCCTCGATGACACTGAATCCAACATGCTGAACAATTTCTTCACATCGATGGACGCAAATCATCTGGATGGCAATGACTTCTGGTTCTCCCTAGGGGACCAGAATAAACCAGGTGCAAACTTTGGTTTTGAGTGGGCAGAGGAGCTTCCTCCTAATTTCGAGGGCTCAACGACCTCCCTGGGACCCTACCCCACTTTCGCGAATGGAATACACGAAGAGGGAATTCACATGAGCAAGATATCCCCACACAGTTCAGATGTGATAGCGGCAGCATCCATGCTCTACCAGAAAAATAATGTCATAAATTCACACGATTACGTTCCTGGCCAGGTGTTTATGGGAAACGGCCATGATATCCACGGAAACAGTGGTTTGAAAGCTAAGAATTCCTTCCTGGCTCCCCGCTTCGTCGACCCGCTACCTCAAGGCCCCTCCCCTAAGGACCTCTCTCTCTTCAAAGGATTTCATACTGCCAAAATGTATTTTGACGTCGAACAGCAGCTGCACCCTGAAGTGCAGCAGAGAATAAGTACACTGAGATGGGGCTCAGATGCTGGTTTTTCACAACGACGGTATCACGCCCCGCCAAACCAACCAAGCGAGGAAGATCGCACCAAAGACCTACTTCAGAGCCTGGATTGCCTAGAAGCGCAGAGCAGCGCAGCAAACACACGACCTCCCTCCCCAATCCGGCGATCACTCGATCACGGAGTTGTGGCTGCCCCCGAATGGACTTCCCTGGTTAATGGTAATGGCATTACAAATGGTGTTAAAGCGCTTTTGCAGGCGAACGATTCAAGGCAAGAAGCTGAAGAAGGGCAAGATGATGATAGTGCGAGACCCAAGAAGCGGCGAAAGAGCAAGAATCGGATAAAGGATGAGGAAGATGTGGAGGCCGACTTGCCCAATAACACCAATAACGACACCAGAGAGTCTAATAATAGTACCAATGGTCGCCAATCGTCCAGAACTCGACGCTTCTCTTCCAGCACTGATACATCACTTCAACATCACCATCGAAAGCCAAAGGCACAGGGTAAACCGCGCGAAAATCTTACGGAGGAACAGAAACGTACCAATCACATTCTCTCTGAGCAGAAGCGGAGAAATCTCATCAAGCAGGGCTTTGATGACCTCTGTTCTCTCGTGCCTGAGCTGCATGGCGGTGGCTTTAGCAAGAGTACCATGCTTATCCAGGCTGCGGAATGGTTAGAGGACCTTCTGCGGGGGAATGAGATGTTGCGGATTCAGTTGGATGAGCTGAAGAAGAGATCAACGACGGACACGGCTTAACAAGATGTCTTTTCCCTTCCAATTTTCATGAAAAAAGTTCCTTTACACACTTATAATTTCTCACCTTTTCTCTGTTATTTGCTGGCACCATACCGATTTACTTTCTATACATATCTTGCCCTCTTATTTCTCTGTACCAATTTTATACCTATTTTTTTTTGTTTTAATACCAGTTTTGGATATACTTTTTGCAACCTGCGGAAACCGATATAGCCTGGAGCTTTCCGCCTATTCTCAGAGCTCGCATTATCCAATATCCCTTTATATATTTGCTATTTATAGTTCTTCTACCTAGCTTCCTTGTATCCACTCCATGCATTGCATTAACTAAACACCTCTGAATGTCATGAGAGAAGGATGAATTAAAAGACCTATCTTGTCCTATCCACATCTCACCTCGAAAAGAACAATCCAATCCACCCCCTTGCGTAGACCAGTATATACCATGCCCTATCCAAACTGGTTTACCCTTTCTCCCCCACTTGACCACCTTTGTAACATACACACCTGATTCATTCCCACGGAACAACTCGATAAGAGGCGACATCCTCTCCCCTTCCGCCTATTTTCGATGGCTTTTGTTTTGTGTTTGGTGATTATTGCCAAACTCTGTATATGGATGGTTATAAGGTGTATTAGTCGACAAGGTACACTTATATTATGAACAGAGATGCCATCTGTATATTTATGTTGTCACTCAAACTGCATTTTTATTTATTTACCCGTTCCAGTGTTTGAGCAAGTATAAATACAAGATATGGATATTCCATGGTATTTATTACTCTGCCTTGAGGCTTGGATAAGAGATAGCGATCAATGGTTAGGTTCTGCTCAACTCTTCTCTCGTCTTCTACATTATTACTAGTATCAATTTGTAAACCCTGTTCTCAATATCTAGTTCCCTGTCAGCAGTGAGAACTGTCTTAAGAAAAACGGTGATTGCCAAGGTGGGATTGACAGGAATTAATAATGGAGAAAGAATTGCCATCTTACATACAGGTAGCTCGGTACGAAAAAGGTCGGTCGGAACCCTAACGCCCGCCCCCCGCCCCCAAAATCGTTCCGGGTCCTGGTCGATATTACTGTCTGTTTTGACTGACTGTTCCCCGCTAGGAACGCCTTTCGCTATGCAAAATGCCATGATTCATCCAAGCAATACGGTCAAGGCGGGTCATGGCGTTTAGATATGGTGGTTGATTTCTCCTTTAGCTTTCGGGTAGTTATATATCAATAATGTAAATACTAAATGGGTGAGGGCAGTGAGCGCGCAAGTGTAAGTGTGGGTGTGGCTGCGTGGGGCGCGGAGTTGTGTATTTGATTATTTCGGATCCAACAGCCCCGCAAGGTTGAAAATCTTAAGGCGGGAAAGATGATTCCATAATCCAAAGTCTATATACGGTTGGATGTGCACAGACTCGGTTTGGAGCTTTATGCGAGCGAGTTGCGAAGTCTGGATGTTTGCTGGGGTATATATAGTACGTGTGCGATGACGTGTTGAGCCTGGTGGTTAGTTAATCAGCAGGCGCTCGAATGGTAACATACTTCTCCACTTTCTGGATCAACACCACACTTAACTGGAATCGCCTGCTCACGTGATATAAAACTCTATTTGATAATCCCTAATTGACTTGGTTGGCTTCGACCGTACAGACTACTAATTAGTCCTAGACACCAACATAGCTTTCGTCGTCTTAAATTAGCAGTGGTTTTGTTCGTACGAACCCAGTGATATGATGATGATTTAGATTTGTATAAGGAACATTTATACAGTCTGACAGCTCTTCACTGACTTAATCCCTGGTTTTGAATGGCTAAAGTAGCCAGAATAAGTTGATTTTCACTCATATTTGCTGAATATATGCTGAATATTAACTGTACGAAGGTTGAAGCTACATTATTTTAATTGGTGCATACTAAATTACACTATCAACGTTAGTAAGTGATCCAGTTAGTGGTGTGATCCAGAAAGTGGAGAAGAAGTATGTTTAGCCATCAGGCAGGTAACCTCAACGTCCACATGTGTTTAGAAAGCCACAAAAAATAATAAAAATAAAAATAAAACGTAAAAAGAGGAGCACAGATTAAATTTACGTCTGTAGTGCAAAATCAAGGAAGTTGGAGGAGGGGAAGAGTTGAGAAACTAGAAACGAGATATGCAGCCTAGCATAGTTAACGGGGCGGGGTGTACATAGTAGAGCGAGCTGCTGTTGCCGATCATGGGTGACGGAGGACCGCATGGAGAGGGGCATGGAATGCGGGGCCATCATTTGAAGAATCCACATAATGAATTCTCTTTTTGATTCCGCTGGAAAGGACACAGCAGGTCCTTTTGGAGGGATTTGTTAATTTTTCGACAAGAGAGAGTTGAAGTCGTTTAGACAAACGTTGACGTACAGTATTTTCCGAGTTTCCATGCCTTCCATTCCGCAAACCCCCGATTGCCCAGGTCTGGTTGAACAGTGGTACGCTCTGGACTTGTTGAAGCAAAGAATTATTCGTTCTCGTGTTCCTCTCAAAGTCATCGATAAGATGGTGAAAGGCAAGGGAGATGATTTTTGGGGATTTCACATGCCACCGGTAAAAAAAGTAAATGGGTGCAATGTGCTGCGTAGCTACTGTGTATACAAAACTAATAATGCAAGCAAAAATTTTGTTGGAGCTATGATCTGGCTCAACTGGTCTCTTGGACTAGCCAGCCACCCAAAACTATGCTTAAATTTTTTAATGAAGAGTGGAAAATAATCCAATTTCTGAAGAAGATCGTGTGCGGGTCAAAAATAGATTCGTCTATGGATCGCTTCCGAAACTGTAGTTAAGGCTTAGCGTGATCGTTGCGGTTGGAAGCTAAGAGCAGAAGGTTGTAGACAGAAGGTAGATATCTGACTGCCAGAGGCAGTATCCTATGTCAGAATAGAGCAGCAATAAGCTATTTCTCTGGAAAAGGAGAAGACCAAGGATTTAGCCTCCTAAACGCGGCATGAAGATAGGGGATATCACGTTCCCGGCGCTCACAGAATGAGGATCAAGCTCTGGTGCCTCAGGAGAAATCCATAAAATCTGAAACTTCCGAGATTTGATATAGATCTCACATGGATCTCACCTGTATTGACCTGTTCCTTTTTATATCTTCCAAATGCTTTGGTTAAAATATTAAATAATTTGGTCCCGTAAAGCCATCCGAATGTCTAAGACGAACTTTGGTAGCTGGGTGATCCTCCCAGCCAGTTAAGATCCGGTTCCTGACTAGATATTCTATGCCGGATGATAAGGATTTGGATCGAGTTCGCTGTTCCATGTTGGCAAAGTTCTCTTACTCCTTCCGCTTGTTTGAAGATATCTTCGAGGTTGAGCACTCCAATTGCAATGGTTGACCCTATGAAAAAAAAATGTTGGTGAATGTGGTAGGAGAAAATCACGTGGTGATAAGACAGCTAACAGATTCCTTGGCGTTTGCATATGATTTCGCGGCTCTCAAACCCAAACCCCCAAAACAAACGACGGACCATGATCTTGAAAACAAACGGTTCAACCTGTGACGCTGGAAGACTTGGGGAATATTGACGCATTAGCCTTGGGGTTTTAGTGTTGAACTGATTCGCCTTTGATTCTTCCATCATGCCTCCAAAACGAAAGCAACGCGCAGACGATGTGGACGGGGCGGATGAACAGCAGGAAGACCACGCCCGCAAAAGATTCGCGATATTAGAACCCCGCATTCGCCATATCGCGGAACGTAGAATCAAGACAAAATGGACGACTTTACCGGATTCCGTTCAAGAAAAGATCAAAGATCTTTTCCAATCAATTGAACGGCCGGTTATCACTAGACACCGTGACGAACGAAAGCGTATTGATGCCCAAGCCGCTGTTGTTGCAGTGAGAAAAAAGTATGGACAAGTTAATTTAAATTAGCAAAGCGTCTGCTTGAATTGGGAAAATAACCAGCACCTCACCACGAAGATGCCTTGCTAATTGGTAATCGTATATTTTTCCGTCAGCAGTTTAGGAAAACGGTTACCGCGAATGCCATTCCCTCCTGGCACTAAGGACGCCGATTTCGACTATGAAGCTGCATTGGAGGACAATGTTAGTATTTCTTACATCTATCGATTTCCTCACCCCAACAAACTGGAGCTGAAAAACATTGTGCAGCGCGTCTTGGAACTTCAATTGGCCACAGCCACAAATTCAGCAGATTTATTGAGAGCAGAAATCTACCGGGAAGAAGCGCAGCTTGCAAAAGACAGAGCACAGCTTGAAAAGCTGGAGAAGAATGCGAAAGCAGCGCAAGCAGAGAGAAAGAGACAAACAAAAAATGTACATACAATAGTGGATTTCCTAATTTTAACCTATCTGATAAGGTCTTCGAAAGTGCGCTGACCTGTCAATATAGGCTCACCCGGTCATTCGACACCTCGAACATTCGGCACAACATTCTGACGGCGGAGGCACAGACTTTACCTTTGCTGGGCCGAAGGATAATGGGAGCATGCTGTGCGAGGTACGGATGTTCTTCTGTGGAAATTTTGCATCCTTTACAAGCTGACCTAAAAATGCAAGCAGATTGATGCGGAATCTCGACTCTATCCGCTGATTAAGCAGCTGCGTAGCCATCTCGAATCAATGCAGAACAACGCCGCGCAGCTTGCCGGCCTCAGAGAAGCCATTGCTCGTTCCCAGTCATGCTTGAACCTTTTACCGTTACGGTGATATCTGGTTTCGATGTGGATCTGAAAGTTTGTTATGTAACTCCGTCGGAATTCAAGTGCCATCGACTTTTAAAGGAAAAATTCATTGTTGGTGAATTCCGACTTCGGTTTGAAAATAGCTATCCCCATATTCGGGATCCTCTTTTGGAGCCACGAAAGTGCGCGAGAACCGAGACCCATTATACTGGCCGCTGGATATGTGGATGATATGCCGGATCCCCTTTCCACATATCATAATACCATGGCTATATTATTTGTGGGCATGTCACTGCATTATGGGACAAGCCTTCTCAAGTATGGTGCGAGAATAACCATGCTCTAATGCGACATGTATGTTCATGTATGTATGTTCAGGGACAGTTTGGATTTGGATACAGCAGCGTAGCTAGTTCATGTACAATAACCAGTTATCTGTAGCAAGAATAGACGAATAATGCGCAAGGTTTATGAATTGGTGTACAATCGGTCGGTGTATTCTCAAAACATAGGATTGTAACGTATAGTATATGCGCAGCATAATAGGGTTTATAATAAATTATTTTGGTTGGTGGCTAGAAAAGGTCCCTCGGCATTTTGTTTAAGATTCGTCCCAAATTTTCACGGCAGAACGGGTGAGCCAAACGTCGGAGATCCAGCTCTCTATCGGCTGACCTAGCAACCCGTCAGGGCCTTAGAAACTCTGATTGTGAATGCGGGGAATACAAAAACATTGTTGCTTCATCTTTCTCTGTTTTCGCCTCAAAAAAGGCCGAAACGCATCAATTCCTCCATTCAGCCCAACGGCTCCGGTGTTACCCCGCCTGCAAGGCTTCAAGCAAGGCGACCGACCCCAAGCCCAGAACCAGCGAACCAGTGTTGCCTTGCGGAAAGCCACTGCGCATCGGTAACTCCCATCGACCTGCAGTGCTACAAAAGCGGTCGCTTCTTCAACACACCACCAGCCCAGTGTGAAACCGGCAACTAGGGTTTGAAGCCATATTTTGATTTTGAAATAAACAAGCCGTTGATGACTAGGAACGGGGAGAAGCAGTCCGCAGAAAACGATGGGCAAAAGCCAGGGGATGGAGGTTCAGAGACAGCTCCTTCAGACCCAGTAACAGAACGTGATGCACAACTTAAAGAGATGAGCACAAAGAATAATCAAACACCGCCAAAGGGTGCAGATGGATCCCCAGCAACTGCCAGCCCAAAAAAGCGTCGCAAAGTCAATCATGGTGAGTTTGGCTTTTTTTGTCCTTGCCTGCATGCTATGATCCATTCTGCTCATCTCTACTATCTTCTGCGCTTTTTGCGTTTGGCCCTGGCCCTCCCGAGCTGAAGGTTAACCGTTTGTTACATCTGCAGCCTGTGTCTATTGCCGACGTTCGGTGAGCACTAACAGTCCATTTTCTGCCTCAATTGTTGCCCCACTAGCAGACAAATTTGCTGGCATCCGCTCATAACATCATGGCCATGGAGCACCAAGACCGCCATGGAATACAAAGGAATTTGCTTGGCTAACAGTAAGGGAATTCAATTCTGCTCGAGGTTGGACAGCATATGACCTGCGATTCGGTACGACTTTAATAATTGGACCCTCTCTTCCCCATAATTGACTGACTTTTCGCTTTAATTTTAACGTCTCTAAGGGTAAGAGTGGCTAACGCATACCTCTTCTTTTTGGGACCCTTGAGCAAAACAGGAACGACCATGCACTCGCTGTATAAAACGCAACATAGGCCATCTCTGCCACGACGAACCTAGAGAAAACGTCAAGCGGTTAAAGACCGAGCAGGAGGCTTCTGCGCCAGAAGAAGAGGGTCCATCGAGGAATGACTTTGCGGGAATTCAAAATATGCCACGAAAAATTGATACGCGCGAAATAAACCAAGTGCTTCGTGATTCTAATATTCCAAATTTGTCGACTTCGATCGATCATTCTCAAGCTTCCCAAGCCCAGGGCATCTCCGCCGCACCAGTTCAGCCGGTTAATGTCAACCCACAACATCGTGAGTCATTCATCGATATATTTTCTTCTTCTTCTTCTTCTTCTTCTTCTTCTTCTTCTTTATTTTTATTTTTATTTTTATTTTTTTTTGAAGTCCTTCCCGAATTTCATTTTTATTTCCGTTACTGAGAACAGATAGTTATGAGTTTCAATGATTGGCGGTTAGGGGCACATAACCAATTCCAAGACATGCACACATTCCATCCATCATATATGTTCAACCATCCGGAAGTTACAAACGAGTATAATCTGCTTAACGACTTCCTGAGCACAAGTTTGCTAGACGACGCCTCCATGTATCCTGGGGAAGAAATTTCTGGTCCTTATTCGGATGCATCATTGCTCAATTCCATGGTTGCCAATATACCACCACAGAATAACCAATCTATTTTTCAACAGCAGCAACAGCAACAGCAACAGCAACAGCAGCAGCAACAGCATCACCAACAGCAACAGCAGCAACAGGCTATGTTACCACCACCATTGCTTGCGGCCCAATCCCAAAACTCCACCGTCGGCAACTCAATTCAACGCCCCAGTAGCAGTGTTGGAAATGAAAAAGCCAAAGAAACATACTATATGACAGCAGCTGACCCTTCGGGCACTGATCCGCCAGAGGAGAGGATGAACAAGCTTTTGAAAGCCAAGTACGATGCCGGCTTGCTAAAGCCTTTCAACTACGTCGGTGGCTACGCCCGCCTGAATTCATATATGGAGAAACATCTAGAGCCTGCATCGCGACAAAAGATCCTTCGACAACTCGATAAATTCCGTCCCAAGTTTCGCGAACGAATGCAGTCGCTGACTGATATGGAGTTGTTGGTTGTTGAGATGTGGTTTGAGCGTAGCTTGATGGAGTATGATCGTGTCTTTGCCAGTATGGCTATACCGGCTTGTTGCTGGAGGAGAACTGGCCAGATTTTCCGGGGGAATAAAGAGATGGCTCAACTTATTGATGTCCCTATTGAGTCTTTGCGAGATGTAAAACAATTTTTCCCCCCCTTTCCCTCTAGTACCCCATCCTCCTGTGCTATCTGTGGACAACCGAATTTGGTATAGATTACTCACATGGCGCTTTTTAAAAGGGTAAACTTGCAATCCACGAAATCATCGTCGAAGACCAGCTAGTCAGCTACTGGGAGAAATTTGGAGCGATTGCATTCGACAGTACCCAGAAAGCAATGCTTACGAGTTGTACATTGAAAAGCCCGAATTGCAACAGTCGGGCAGAAGGAATTAAGTGCTGCTTTTCATTTACGATCCGCCGTGATACCCACAACATGTAAGTACTGGAGCAAACTCGGTGTGGAAAATTGTCAGAGATACTAAGACCTAGATGCATTAGACCGTCGCTTATTGTTGGCAATTTCCTCCCTATGAAACGAACAGATCGATGATTTTATGCCGGAAGGTTGTTTTGTTTTCTTCGTTTTTGAGATGACCCGTTCAGGAAAAGATATTTTGTGTTGGCCTGCTTGTTATGTGTATATTGTTTGTACGTACATACATGCTGTTTTATTCATATACATGTTTTCTTCATTAACCATTCTCATCATGGGTTTTGCAGAATTATGAGATTTCTCTTTTCTCTGTTGAGCGTGCTTTGTCTAATGCCATATCACAACTAAACTGCTCCCCTCTTCTCTATTCAGCGGGCGATATACAGGCCTATTAGTGCCTGTCAAATGTAAATGAACGACCACATCATCGTCATTCTGTTTAAATACTCTCAAGGATGTAATGGATATGTGCATCTTGATGCCCTTCCTTCTGTCCAGTGAGGCTCGAGATAATATGTAGACGGGCAGGCAAGGAAAAGGGGTAGTTCCAATAGGACCCCGTGACCCCCTCTTTGGATCTAGCTCGACTTCTTTCAACCTCACCTGTCTGTTCTTGGGCAATCTTCAATCTATTTAAGACTGAAACTGTTTATTCTTTAGGATTTAATCCTGTTATTCGTGCAGAAGCACAGAAGAACAGTAGAAGGTTTCGGGGAAAGTTGAGAAACGGAGGGAATCCACCAATTTTAAGCGTCCCACAGCCATCTATCTCACTTAGCCATGCCGCCATTCTATACCAGTCTTTCAGCGAAGACAAAGCATGCTTTAGGTACGTCACAAAGCTTTCTTTTTCTCCCGCTACTTTAGCCACTAGAATGTCCTGGATAACTGAGAATGTCTTGTGGATGCAAACCAATTCAGATTTCGGCAGATTTCTCTACCAGATATTCCAAGAGTACATGGAAGATGACGACGATGCCGCGATATGCGATAAGCTTAACAGCATCAACAGACGAATAAACTGCATATCTGACATTGAGGTTCTAGGCGTTCCTTCGTCTGAGGATCAAGAAGCGTTGGATTCGATAGGGACGCAGTTGTGGAATATGTGTACACGACTTATTAGGAAAGACTGGGGAAAACGGGAACATCTCCTTGTTTTATCATCTGGTGTGTGAAATACGGATTTAATATTCTTCAGTTTTGTTTTTATCCTTTATTGCCCGTGTGAGTTGGGTAGGGCTTGCTGATAATTAAATTATTTGAATAGCCAGGGCTTTTTCGTTTCTCATGATTGAGCTTGGAACGGGAAAAGGAGCTAGGAGGGCTGATTCAGGTGAGCATCTAATACTAATATTGCTTTCATGCCAGCCCTAAGTTAGAAGAATTTACAGATGATATGAGACTTCTTAAAGTGGCCTTGACCACGGCACGGGGTTGTCTAGGTTAGTGAAAGCAGGATGTTCCATACAAAGTTTAAGACTTAAGCCTTTCCCAGATATCGACCAACTGGATCTCTGTTTGAGGATACTTGAGAAAGCCGCGTCTCGAGAAGAAGCGTTGTCAAGGCGCAATCAGAGAAGCGTCACTCCTGTCGAAAGTGTTCCTAAATATTCTACTGAATACTACATTCTGCGCGTCGCACTGGTAAGATATATAGACCCGAAAGCTTTAAAACGATAATGACTAAGAAGCGGCTACCGGAGCAGTCATGGCGTCGAAATCAAATAGATGTTATGGAACATATGTTTTCTAAGCTCGATGCTGCATATTTAAATCATAGTCCTATCATTGCTGAGCGGCTGGCTGTGGTCCTTTACGACATTGGAAAATCCATGTTGAGTCAGGGTAAACATGAGTGGGCTTCCCTATGGCTAGAAAGGTCCTATGATGCGTTAAACCAACATGAAATTGGGCAACTTGGTCATCATGCTACAGAACTTCGGCTAGCGGTACTTCTTGGGAGAGGTAAATTCGTTTATCCTTATCTAGTGCCAGGATGTTGCTAACATTTTTGTCCTATTTTCCATTTAGTTCGGGCGAATTTGTCATTGCAACACGAAGACGGCGAAGCCGTTGTTGCAAGCTTATTTCATATACTTGAACAAGTACGATTCGTTTGGCTTTTCCGTTGATAGATTCTTTGTTAACGGTAATTTGGTTTCAGGAGTACGGAAATCGACTTTCAGTCATCATCTTGAACCTGGTCATTATCAGCAAAGAAGCCTCCCCAGACAGTCAACGATATTACGAAAGTATATATAGCGAATCCCAATTAAGGCTTTTTCTAAGTGACTTTTACTAAAATTATGCAGAGCTCTCCCTTCTCACGCGGACGGCTCCTGCTACCGCTTCCAATTTTAAAATGTTGGTCAGCCCCAAATAATGACAATCGAAACTTAATGTCTAACATTTTTTTAAGGATAACCCGCCACATCCATCGATTAAACAAGTGGAAGTGAGTCTCTAAGACATTTCCGGCTTGTTAATGTTGAGGAATTGGTTGTATTAATCAATTATAAAGTTCGGAAATGGCAAGCGATGCCATGGAAAATCTACTTCTACCGAGACTGATTTTATACAACGACGTTCCCCTGCTGGAAAGATATTTTGTCACGTATGTTTGGATGCAAACTGCGTTGGAAGGATTCACAAATGGCCTTGATTCTCTTTTGTCCGCCGCAGAAAAGCTGAGCGCATCATTAAGGAAACCGCTGACCGAGGAGGCTGCCCAAGCGTCTTTAATTGTCGGTTTCCTCTTCACATACTCTACAAGACTTTAACTAACATTTGAAGTACTGCTTAGCTCCTGTGGAAGAAATGCAATATCGTTTTTGAGCAAAAGGAGTATGATGTTGTGGAAAAATGGTGCCTGCTGGCCCAGCATGCGATTTTTGAAAATGTAGGGGAATCGAACAAGTCCAAAATACGTAGGTAAGTAGTAATGGTTTTGTGCTTGTTTTATTGTTTGTTCGGAATTCGGGCTCAATCTGAATAGGAGAATAATCCTTTGCGCGTTGGAGAAAAGGGATGCCGCAAGGGCACGTCAGATCTTTCACCAAATGCCAGAAGCGTCACGATCTGATGGGTTGACACAATATCTGATGTATAGAATTGCATTACTGGACAAAAATGCGGAATTAGGTGAGATGACTATATTTTGTCTATTTCTGCCAAATCTGATCAACTGATATTGGACAGCAAGAGAATGTCTTGAAACCCTGTCCAAGCAAGATGCCGGGGCTGAGAACTATATATTGGCATGCGTTGCCGAATCAAAGCATTTTGATGATAAATGCCAGGAATTCATGGCTCTACAGGTTCTCTTAGACATGCTTGATAAGAAATCTATAGTTGGGATTCATTTACCAGAACTCCTCCGGTGAATATTTATCTGAACCGCAGATTTGGTTTTGATCAATTTCCCTTCCTGCAGAAGCCCTGCTGATGCAAACTATAGATGTACTATCCGCCTTCTAATCGCAGAGCTGGATGCTGACAGGCCACCAAAGCCAGAGGTCATAGAAAACATTTGCAGAGTATTTGGGATATGTATGTTTGACTTACTGGATGGTTTAAAGTAGTTGTTATTAACTTATACCCAAAGCATCTGCAAAGGCTATCGGATCTCGTATTCAGGCGAACGATAGCCCCTTTTCAGTTATTGAGTTGGAATGGTTTTCTCGCAACAGTTATAATCTCGCCGTGCAGTATTGCACGAAATGGGATACACATCTTCTGCTGTCTCTGGTGGACACAAGTATCAAAGTGAGATAGGGTTTTCGTCAGAACACTTTCTGTCTTTTGACTAACTAGAAACTAGTTCCTCGATATGTATCCTTTAGATCTAAATCCCAAACAACGAAACGGTATTACTATGCGAAGGCTTTTTTGCCACTTCCTGGGAGCAATACTAAGCGTAGCTCAAGCTCGCCGGGAGGTTGATACTGCAGTTCAGGTGCTTTCAAAATATCCATCTAATGACTATCTAGATTGACCTTTATTGACATAAGCATTGCAGCGTGATTATTACCTAGACTCCAGAAACCATATTCAAAGCTTTCGAGGAATTTTCGGTGCTGAAACCACAGACTGGGAAGGAAAGCATCGAGACAATTTTCTAAAAAGGCACCGTACACTGCTAGCTTTCGACTTTGAAGCTGCAGTCCGACTACACCAGTGGGAAAGCCTCGATGAAATCATCAGTGAATCTGAGCATTACGCAGATAGTATGTTATATGGCACTTTTGCAGATGCTTTACTCTGCTCCGACACACCAATTGAGAATGCTACGCGGGTTTTACAGGTAATTTAAATACATAATCCATGCAGCTATCCTAAATTCCCAACTCCCTTTTTATCCGCCAGCCACTCACAAATGATCACAATATAGCAAATAACCACACATATAATCCGCCGCAACCAAGCACACGACACCAGTAAACTCTCCCGCTGGATTCGGTGCCACTTTCAGCTTGCCCTAGACTCGAACGTCGAGATGGCAGAGAGTGTGCTCGATCAGGCCTACGCATTAGCAAGGGGGAGCCAAGGGAGGTATCGACACGGAGAGCAAAGACACCAGCAAGGATCTTCAAATTCCTTTTCATGTTATCCAGAGGATGAGCTAGAATGGCTCTCCACGACGTCATTTAATCGTGCTGTCGATTTCTATATGAAACCTGATGATGCTTCATGTCGTCGGTGGGCGCAGAAGGCGCTGGACTTGGCGGGGTTGATGCATGATGGGGGTTTGTTGTATAAGGTGCTCAGGGAGAAGTTTGAGGGTTTGAAATGGGACTGATGGGTGGCGCTTTATATTAGGTTATGGAAGGGGTTAGGGGAGTTAATAGTGGAATTGGTCATTGTTACAATTATGATATACTTAACGGTGTTATTTGAATTTGGAACCTTGTTACATATCATATCAGCAAGCGATTATAGATCTAATTACTCTATTAAATTCTCCTTTTCACTCTCTGAAGCGTAAATGAGTTAGAGGCAAAAAGGAGAAATTGATATCCTGTAAAATAATTCCCCTCTGAAAGAGAAGGGATTAAAAGGGAGAAAACTAAATCCTTGAAATGCGAATCTGTGAAGCAAGTTCACCAACAAATTTGCTGATTTGGTATCTGGTAGGGTTATATAAACCTATTCATGTAAGAGTGCAAATTGTAGCCCCTTAACGCCCAACGGGAGCCTACAGGGGTCTCTCAACGTTCAAACAAAACGGGTTCTGAAAAATGTAACCGAAAAGGTAAAACGTGAATGACATGGAAGTGAAAAGGGTGTCTAATGAAAGTGTGCCTGTGAGGAAAGGAATATATATACATAGCAATGGAAACAAAATGAAGCAGAAGAAGCGAACGTTGCAGTTCTGAAATGGAACAGGAGAAGGGAATAAGGGGAAGAATAAGGAAATTCTAACCCATGTACTTTATTACAGAAGATAATAGAAAGAGCTCCATCTCTTTTCCTCCATATACGGACGCTAATATGCCCTGAAAAACAAGTATAGCCCCGCTTAAAATTGATTCCGGGCCCACAGTAACAGGTTAGTTTGTATGCTCTTCCCTTCCCCTCGTCAGAAATTTGGTGTAGAAAACGGGGCCAAAACCGATAAAAAAGTAAACCAATACATCCAACTGGCCAATACCCTATTAACCCGCTTAAGTTTTGCTGATAGAACGACACACGTGGAAACCTGGTTTCTTTTATTTATTTCTATTTCTAATTTTTGAGAAACAAGGATATGTATAATAGAAAACACGGAACAAGGGAGAACCCACATATATGCCAGCTAACAAAGTCGCTTCAAAAAATAATAGAAGGGATATTTTACAAAGGAGAGGAACGAGAGGGGAAACCTGAGGGGCTAGGTCTAAGAGAAACAGTAAACAGGAAAATGAATTATGCACGTTGGACCAGACGCGGGAATCACTTGAAAAAAAATGAAAAGAATAGTATGAAATAAAGAAGAAGTTAGCAAGGTAAGATAAGAGGTTCACAAAAGAAGAGAATCGGGAGAGGCTTTAAAAAATTCAAAAAGAAAACTATTTTCTCGAGAAGGGAACGCTGTTTAGTTAATAAGAATATGAATGGAAAGGTTAAACAGGTTGAAGAAGAAAGGCAAGGGGAGAGCACAAAAAACAATCTTAAAAATCAAGACCCCAAAATAAATCGATCTTGATGAGCCAATCACCTATCCTTCACCATCAGGATCCAAAGAATGTGTCCGATAAAGGCTTCCACCATTGATACTCCGACTCAGATTTGGGGTTGATGGCATCCGTCGAGCCAGCTTCCGCGACTTGACAGCTAGTGGAGTTCCATTGACTCTACCTGCCTTTCCATGGTTAATATTCTCCAGTAGAGAATTCTCGTTAACCTGGATGTGCTTCGATCGCTCACCAAGCGCACGGACTGTGAGATCCAGCTCCCTTTCCAGCTCTGTAGCGGCATGTAGATGGTCCGTGGAACCGCTTAGCTTTTTCCGATAGGCCCGCAATGTCCTGCAGACTTGTTCTGTGGACGTGTTGAGGCTCCCGAATTCGCTGGATTGTGAAGGAGATGGTGAGGGTGAATGTGTGGTGTTGGCATTGTTGGTTTGGGTGCCGCCGTTGGGTTTTATGCGGGAGCGGAAATCGAGGGGTGGGTGACGTAGGCTGCTGTTACTGAGTTTTGATGCGAGGATTTTGGACGGATGGGGTTTTGGACTAGGAGGAGATGGGGAGCGTCTGCTTTTGGTGTCAGAGAGCATGATGCTTGATCGACGAGGTGGGGGGAATGGAGGAGTGGAAACGATAGGGGTGCTGTATCCACTCTTGGATATTGATGGGTTAAGTGTGAATCTTGATGATTTTCTCCGGATACGTGGTGGTGACTGCTCTCTGGAAGTGGTGGGGCTACAGGAATAGGCGTCGAGACGTTGATAACCGGCAAGCTCTGTCTTTGAAAGAATTCGACGCAGTGGCGGCTTTACGGCTGTCAGTTCCTTTGCTGGGGTGGCATCCTCCGCACGAACAGGTGCCACTAGCTGGATTTCTTGGACTGGTTGCTGCTGTTGAATGGAAAGGTCCCAAATCATGATTATACCGTCAAGGCCGGTACTTATCAAAGTTCTTTTCCCCTTCTCTTTGGCATCTGTTAGTTTTGCCTCGATAAGAACAATGTCACTGACGCCTTCGGTGTGACCAAACTCGCGTGTTAAGAGAACATCCTTTTCAAAATCATAAACACGAATCGATTTATCCGTTGTTGACACGCCAACAAGAAGTGGTGGGCTCTGTTCAGGAACCTCAGAGTCTATGGTCAAGGAACTCACTACGACTGTATCATTCGTTTCTGGGTCTGAGGCTCGAAAGGAATGCATTTGTCTACCAGAAGCAAGATCGAACCTGTGAATATGCCTGTCTATAGTGGATAAGATAAGAGTATCAGCGCTCTCGGGGTGAAGCGTCATTGACACCGGTGAGGCTTTGAGCGTGAGGATTTTCGACAGGCTGAAAGCAACAGTGGTATCTCCGTCGGCCTCTCGGGTTACGCGATCGCGAACAATCACGGTACGATCGGCAGAACAAGAGAGTAATTTTTCGCCATCATTCAGTAATAGGAGGCGTCCAACAGCGCCAACGTGCTCATCCATTGTTTGTATTAAGTCGAGAGAATCTCCAGTGGTCCTAAAAAGCTGAACCATCCTGTCTCGACCGCAAGTTGCAACCATGTGTATACTTGCATTTTCCTGAACTGCAATGTCTGTAACTTCACCGCCATGGGCTCTGACTTCAGTGGCACATTTCCATAGCTTCCCGGTGATTAGTCTAATATATCATATTAGTAAGGAAGACTATTCATTCAAAGTTGTAGCATGAACATAATTGATAACGTACCTTATAACGCCGTATTTATCACCCGAAATAAACATAGTCATATTCTCAGAGGTTCGTACAATTTTCAGTTCATTTTTATCATCATCGTTACCGGGCAGCTGATCTAGCTCAACTTTCCTTGTGGCACGACATTTGCCCTGTAGGTTCCAGAAGTTAACTGTTCCACCAGAGGACCAAGTGAAAAAGTCCGCTTCATGCATATTAGGAGTATTAAGAACTCCGATACCGAGCACGGCGTCCGGATGTGCGGGCATTGATATTTCCGCCAGAGTATCAACGTTATCCTGGTCCAAACAGTCCAGAGGGCAAACGCGTATAGCACGAGTGGAATCTACCGTGACGATGTGGGTGGCAAATATTCCCATGGCAACGATGGCTGGCCTTTTCGTTTTCGGACCGGATGAGTATCCTTCGTCGTGATCTGAGTGTGTTGGTGATTGGGAAACCATTGACTTCAATTCTTCAATTGAGGATTTTTGTATTATTCGGCCACGACCACCTAGCCAAACTGTCCCCGATTCATGATCCACCGCAATGGAGCTAATGCCAAAGGATACGCTTTTGATAAAATGTAACTTCTGGCTTCCAGAAGTATCATCGAGAAGACATATCATGCCAGTATCAGAACAAACAATTGCTTGATTGTCTGAAATGCTAGAGATGCAGTTGAATGTGGTGTCACCCAAGCTACCTAGAAGACAGTTTCTACCGGCAAGTGCTCTCGGCGAGGTACTAGATGAAGCAGGCACCGGAGAGTCAAGTGTAAATCGTTGCTGTTTCGAGGGAGAGGTGGGTGTAGGGTCTGTCAGTCGCCAGACCTTGACATGCCTTATTCCAACACTAGATTGGAAAGTATATTAGTTATAACCCTGCCAAGTGAAGACAGCTTGCAATATCTCCAACATACGTGACCAGACTGTTCCCCATCCAGCATATGCCCCTGACAAAGGATGTACATTTGTTTATCGAATGCAGTTTCGCAGCGCCATTCTTCAAGTTTACCGCCCAGATGAACAGAAACCCATCATTTATATCTCCCAGCGTCGCCAAATACTGCGAAGTGGGACTGAACGCAAGGCTACGAATGCCAAACGAGTGATCAGTCATTATCGAAAGAGGAGTATCTAGCGGAGAGTCCTTGGCGGTCGAGAATATCAAAACTCGTGGGCTATAGCCGGTCTATACTACATATTAGTGCTGGGTTCGAAATGGTCTGCTTTTCGGTTGTATATGGCGGGAAGGGCAGAACATGCCTCTCCTACAGCTAAATACCTGCCATTCGGACTTATCGAGACACAAGTGACTGCCTTTATCCTTTCTCGAGAACTCCATGTTCGCGAGCCGTTGGTTTCAGCCCATTCTGCGTTTGGAGAGCTAGCGTAGAGCGCTCCATTGATATTCGGTTGTCTACCCGCCGGTTGAAACGACCTCGTTCGCGTGTCTGGCGTAGTGGGGGGTGTCGACGTATTATAGAATGACTGCACAGGATTAACGGGTGCAGCGGTAGGGCGTGCACGAAAGAAGCGTTGTGAGACGTTTAGATCCCCATCTACCTCCGCCAGAATCGTTGCTGAGCCAGCACACAGCGCAAATGTTTTTGTAGGTTCGTGGAAGGAGAAGCCATTCGGGTTCGAGGTGGTTGTCCCTATTACAGTCTGCAGTGATAATGTGGAGTGATGCGAGGGTTTGTGAGCTGGTCGCGTCGCCGGTTTCAGAACTGGATAATTTGAGGGGGTAAGCTTCAGGGAAGCTCCGAGTGCGGTGGGCGGTTTGATTTTTGAAACTAATGAATTATTGCTACTGTAATTGACATGGATATCATTCGCCATGGACTGCTCCATGGCTGAGAGGATGTAGTGGAGCTCGTTGTTGAACGTCCCCAGACAATTCGAGTCTTGTTTTCATTGCAGAATGCGGCGGCATTGGTTGCTAGGAAGCTCTGCAAGCTGTGGAACTTGTCTGCATATGAGATACTATATCTCCTGCAGGCAAGGAGGAGTTCGGCAAGGGAAACAAATATGCAAACAAAAATGCATGCAATTTCGAGTCCTGTATGCAGGGCTGACAGGTCCTTCACGGAGTATTTTCTGCGAAGGGGCTAGACTAACGTAGGTCCCTCTAGGGTCTGGACGGAAAATGACGTTGGATCCCTCGATCGTAGAGGATGAGATTTCAAATGCCTCGTAAGTCCGGAGAGGAATAGACACGGATATTCGCAATCCTCAAAGGATTTTCCAGAGTTGTGTGTTTATATTCTGCAGGGGGCGTGGTATACAGTTGATTCCTTTGTGGGCGTCAAAGAAGCCGTAGGCTCAGCAGCTGCCGGGGATGTTATCACGCCCTAGTTAAAGGAGACAAGGCCAAGGAACAGCGAGTATTACCAGTACCAGATCGGCGTATTTTTGGCCGCCGAAAACTTGTTTTGTCCTGTACCAGCCGCCGACCAGCGTTTTTTGATATAGGAGATTGATATCAATTCAGTAACCGTGGAGATGAATCTTAACTGTTGAACCTATACGTTGCTGCTATTTCGTCTCACGGGTGGTGGTTATCAAACTTCTTGTTATTGGTATAAAACATATGAATGTAAAGTACAGAGTACTGTCCAGTACATACATACATTGATTAGAGGACTCAATGACACAAATAGACTGATTGTCTGCTGAATTTACCAGGGGATGAAATTAATAATTGAAACCAATCCATCCTCTATACCTCTCCATCCCTCTAGCAATGTAAGAAGTGGACGGAGTATATATATGTATGGGAAGGCACCGTAGGGAAACGAGAGGGAATAGAAAATGAAACATGTGAATTTAGAACAACAAATATCTATTTATTTGCTCCGTACTCCCAGGTAAAATTTTACAATGGAAGCACTGGAAGAACATGCATGTTTTTACAAGGTGTCAGTTAGAACTTTGTTGAGCTTGGCGATCTTCGAGGAGACACTGAGATCAATGGTTCGGTCGCCAACCTCGACAACCAATCCACCAACAAGTTCGGGGTTGATCTGGTAAAAATCAAGGGACATGATTAGCTTATGTCACGAAATTCATGGTAGGAGGCAGGAGATTTGTTGTAATTTGTCATAAATCGTGAAAATTAATGAAACATGACTGCGTGCAGGTCACGAACCTTTGGGACAACCTTGAGCTTCTTGCCCTGGCTATACTCGGACTTAGCAACGGCGGCCTCGAGGCGTTGAAGGGTCTTCGCATCCAGTTTCTAATTGAGTGCAAAATTGAGTCAGATAACCCATTGTCATAAAAGGTGGCTCCCAATCTTTCTGTCAATTAATCCCTGCTCCACCCCTCCCCATTTTCTCCATACCTGAGCACTGGTGATAATCAACTCAATCTCCCCTCGATGCGCGCTCATCAAAGCAGCAAACTTCTCACAGACCCCCTGCAGAATGCTAAGTCTGTTATTCTCAGCCAATGTCGAGAGGAAGTTCTTCAAGATATTGTCCTTCCCAGGACCGCCAGCAATTCGTTGCAGCTCCTGGACGATATGGGATTTATCGGTTGCAGAGAGCGTGGGGGAGCTGAGGATGGTGGGCAATTTGGCATCTTTCCTGAAGACGTCTGACAAGATTGCGAGGGCTTTGGATGTTTGGTCCAGGCTGGATGTCTTGGCCGATGCAGTATACTAAAACAAAAAAGTGGGCACAAATGTTAGATTGTTTTTGATTCAGGGAAAACCGTCATCTTTCATCCAATTGCTTTCTGTGACTGCAGGGTGAGTGGACAGGGATGGCTTAATTGCGCACCAGAGCATTGGCATAAGTGCCATCGATACCGAAAAGGGCGATAGGAGGCTTTGTTTCCGCTACGGCAGTGGCATAGGTTCTGACATTGTTGATAGCGGCAGCCCGGGGAACGAAGGAGAATTGGCGGGCGGTGGCCCGCAGGGTGGATTGGGCTGCTCTGGAGGATAACATGGTAGCAGGAAGTCTCAGGGAGACTAGGCAAGGAATTCACAAAGTGAAAGAGAGGGTGAGGAGCGTGTGGGGAGTTGTAATTGCTGCCGTAGTTCTCAGTTCTGATGAAAGGGAGTTTTGAACAGAGGCTCAAACAGCGATTGGTAGAGCGCCACGTGACTCTTAGCGAAACGAAAAGTAGTCGGTTGTTTAAATTACATACGGTATTGATACGGGAATTTTTCCGTCACGGGAATGACGTAGGGATGTAAATTAAGGTAGATTTGGTAAAGATGCTTGAGGAATAAGTAGAAATATGGAGGATAATATCATAGATTATAAGCAACATCAGTTGTTTGCAGTATCCATACACACATCCCAGCTATGAAGAATGCCTGAACTCCCACTTCAATGCTTCCCACAAAAAGGAAAATTACCTCGACTCCCGATCCTTCAGAAGCTCTAACAATTCATGATATACGGTTAAACAAAAATTACAGGTCCCCGTAAACAATGCATGCGTGAATTTCATTTTAGTCACTGCGAAGCATACTCTCAACCAGGTCACCCAGTGGGCCCCAAAAGTCCTTCCCGCTGGCCAAGCTGTGCTCGTCAACAAAGAGCACGTAATGCTTGAAGCTTGTGTTAAGGTGAGGCTCTAGGCCCAGATGCACAATCACCGGATAGTGGTGGCAGTAGATATGAGCATATACTCGGTAGAGCCGCTTGAAGAGTTGGCGCAAGAGATTGGTGAACGTTTTTGGGAAAGGGACGCCTGATTTTTATTTTTATTTTTATTTTTTTCGGTGGAATTAGCTTTCTAGGTCCTCTTCCTTGGCTCAGCAGATCAGAAGGTGGAAAACTAACCGATTCGGCTGGGAAACATTTGCTCGTTATCAATGTTGCTCTGAACCCAAGCCATCAAGTGCTCGACATATTGCGGAGCGGACATTTTCGTGGGCCGTTTGTAGTTCTCCGAATCCTGCCACAAATACTCGAATCTACACACTTTTCAGCTTTGCCGAGCATATTCTACGAGGCAGTCATATCCGATTACTGACTCATCTGTAGCCTTCATTTCAGGGCATGATTGGGGCGAGCAGAACTCCGTAATTGATCCGTAGAGCAGGTTGATCTGGTTATAAAAATCCACAACTGCAGAAGTAGCACATAATTTAGCAATGTGATATTCACATTCTTGCCAGAGGGAGCTTTCTGGGTGTCATTTTGCCATACCATTCACTGCAAGCCACTCGTTCAAATCTTCACCTTCAGGCAATTTTACTGCCTTCCTCAGACTTCCACTTCCAAGCGTAGCTTCTGCGAATTGTCTCAACTGGTAGTTAGTTGTCCCTTTATGGACTGCTCTTGGTTTAAATGGCCCTTTGGACCGGGCATTGCTATTTAAAAAGAAACGAAGCGAATCAGCCAAAAAGATCTGGTGGTGGGCGGAATGATAGGAGGCATAACTATCGGCTTTTTGTCCACTAAAGGTAACATGTAACTCTGGACACTCCATGGTGTTGTATACTAACATTGTATTTATGAAAGACGCCATGGATGATTCGCTCGTCTGGTTATCTGCCTGTTATAACACGCGACTGGACAAAGGGACGATGTTGGTCGTTTTTGGGCAGCGATCGTAGGGATTCTTCAAGGCGGCTGGATTCAGACCGCCTGGGTGTTGACGTGGTCTTAATGTCGTTGTGTGTGATACTCATGTGGGATTAAAAGGGGGGGAAATTTGGGTAAACACGAACAAGTCGCGAGATTCTTGGCTGCTGTTCCGCGAGACAATACCCAGTTTACTAGATATTAATGTGATGATGTCAATCAACGTGTGCTACCCGCATTTCCAGACACAAGTGGGGATGGTTGCCCAGGCGACGATCGCTTCACGTGATATCAAACTATACAACTTGGACGGATGCATCCCGTCCCGTCCACAACCTCCACTCCGTACTCTAACCCTTGTGATAAAGTTGGAATACTCCGTTTAACACGTACCTGTATGATCTAACAGGATAAGATGTCTCAAATCAGTTACGGTCCTTGGGTGAAAGTGTATGTTTTGGTGGTCCTTTACCCTGAGCTAAAAATAAAATAAGCAACTGAATGCTTGACAAGGCACTCCACTGCTATATAATTTTCAGGTTACGGACTACTTTACTATTATTTATTCTCATGTATAGGGTGATTCTAGTGTCACTGGAAAATTTTAACGATTGCAAGCCTGTTTGGAGAACAGCAGCAGTCTTCGATGCAGATTCCTCAGATAAAAAGCCAGGCCAAATTCTGTGTACAATGCCTCTAGTTCCATTATCGATGGAGTGCCTAATAGCCTGCGACGTGTAGGCATGCGCTATGACGCAGACAGGATAGGAACGAGCCTCCTCGCCAATCGCCTGGATCTGCTTGGTTGTAAATTGCATGTTCTGTAGTCTATCAGTGGGACTCGTGACGCGTCTGCCGCCCATGATTCTGATGAAATCTGCACCACAGCAGAGCTCGCCTCTGGCGTATTTGACACATTACGTCACTCCGTCGCAGACATGACCTAGTCCAGTGATGTTGCCGCCTCAACAGTCAGAATGATCGTGAGAACCTTGCATGTCGCCCGTGACCACATGTTTGACTGGGCGCATGTCCTGAGATGAATAGATGGAGACCAGGGAAGGCATCGTCGTTGATAACTCCTCTGAGAGGGAGGGTGGCTCCGCCGGAGTCTCGGACTGATGTGAAATCCTGCGAAGCATTTCATTGCATATACAAGGCTGACGCATGGATGTCACGGTGCCATCCATATTCAACATATCGCGGGGTTGTACCTCCCCCCCCCCCTCCTCGGCCACCCCGGGACTGCGTTGAGGTGGACATGGCAATCGATTAAGCCGAACAGAAGTATTTTCCCTGCATGTATATCGTAATTGCATTTGGCAATTTATCGGCCGGGGCAGAACTAGCTGCTGTAACAGATTAAATTCGACAAGCCCTCCAGAAATCTTGACAGTTTGGAGCCATTAACTGGATCAACCACGTTGGCGAGGAAAATTCATGTGTTTTGCGCCGGTCCGGCCCATGGTTTGATCCTTCGTTGTGGAGACATTGTTGCAGTTCAGGTCGACAGAGGGGTGTATCTCTGGATAAATTTCTGGTGACGGACGGTGAAGTCAATATATCCATGAAACTTTAAAATGTACACAGAGCTCTCGACGTAGCAGTTGGATTCAGGATACTATTTTTAGCTGTCCATTCTCCCGACTTGAAGGTGGATTGTTGTCGTGTCAATGTCTGAAATATTTGAGCTTCTTCAATCACACGAATTGGCATTGTCTGAGAAATGAAGTAACTGGAGAACGCATCTCATCCCTGCAACCTACAGCAGGACAACCCCTTTTTAGTTTTTAGCGTTGCGGGATCATGACGAACTGCCTGGGTATTTAGATAGCTGCCAGAGTTACATAGTCTTGTCATCACCCGGCGGGTAGCACATTTTTAGGAATAAATAATATTTTTTTCAGAAATCTGGGGTAAGGGGTAGGGCAGGAGAAACACTCATTAAGTTTTAATATTAGGGACGGATAGCGATGCATCTATTGCCGTGAAACAAATGAAAACACAAAACAAAAATAATAAAAACAAAAATAATAACCTAGGAAAGCTACCTTTGTTCGAATATATATTTATATACCGTCCATCAGAAAACTTGATCGGTACCCTGAAAACGATCAAATCAACCTCTCCACAGCTATATCGGACCTCCTTGCAGCTCCTCTCCGACTGGCTCCCGAATATTACCTCCGTACACAGTCAATGGAATCATAACTTCAAACGATTCACAGGATACACTCTCCAACGACGCCAAGACTGTACCCCTATCATCCTGCTCAACATTTTCCAACAAGTTGATTCCAGATACCCCAACCTCATCATCATCGTCTGGAATATTAGATGTTACGAATTCGAAACGAAGCTCCCATTCAAGATTCACCCCCGATGTGATAATAGTAGGTGTAGCAGAAACAGGAATCGATGGCGTAAAAACCACCTTGGTGGCGAATAATGTGTTTTCAAAGCAACTAGCATGGATTTTTCGGGTTGCTCGTGTAATACTTGCGCAAGAACGGAGGGCAATTGTTGGACTGACCTTCTCGGTCGTTTCAAGTGACCCGCGTAAGGAGTAGCAAGGCAATACGGAACCTGAGAAATCTATCTTCGCAATCACCGTCTCTCCCAACCGATGAGCTCGCCGGTTCAGTATTATCACTGCAATGCGTCGTCCATTGCGAGTTATCTCAAACCTATTGGCGCTTCGATTAGAATTCGTCGATTGATTGCTTCGTAAAATGGCTAACTCGATTGCGTCCTTGCATGAGAATTGCCCTGTAGCAGAAAGAATGCTCAAACGGGTATCCATTGGGGACGCCAATGAACTGAAGGATTCCCGCCGTACAGGGCGATCCAAAAGCTCATCGACATAGGAGAGAAACTCCGATGATGATGTCCACGATTTCGCACTAATACTCTTTTCCTTGGTCTGTCGTAGGGGTGTGCTTTCGACCTTTTGTACACGAGCTTCATCGCGAAGTAGGACGTACGGTTTCATTAGGTCGTGACTGAGCACGGTTCCTTGTGCTAATGTAGTGATTTGAGTATTGGCAAACAGCTTATAGGGAGAAGTTAGGATTGCACTCACCATCTACACCGCTGAGGACTCGAAACGGAATGTTTATCCGATGGACTTTCTGTGGCTCCTTCGGATTTATTGCTCTCTGGGTGCCAATGACCAAATTATAAGAAATTTTGATTGCATTTCCCTTGTGGCTGGCCGGCAAACCCCTGGGTAAAGTAAATGAAAAGGAGAAAGACTTTTCCTCTCCGGGGCCCAACCGTAAATCTACAAACAAGAGAGACTGCGGCGTGGAGAGCAATGGGATGGACTGCGAAGAGGCAACGCCCCTCATATCTCTGAGCCCATCCAGCTCGTTATTGGAAAGCAATGTAGATAATGAGTCACTCAAGTTATTCCATCCCCCAAGCGACCCCCAAAACCCATTGCGAGCTTTTTCAGCTTTCTGGGAAGCATCGGTGCGACCTTGATTTCCTACAACACCCTTGCGTTTTACGTCCTCGAATAGTGACTGGTTAATCAAGGACCCGTCAACGGTGAATGAGGCGCTAACCTGCGCGTAGCCCATGAGTAGTGTATGAGAATTTGTTTTGTTATTCTTCCCAACCGCTTCCATGTTGGAACAATGCCGTCTATGCCGGATCAGGTGTGAGGATTTGTTGGTAGTGTATGATACATATTCTGACTCGAGTGTCTCAGTTGAGTTATTGCTCATAGAATAGTACTCTCCGCTGCTTCGGGTGCTGCCATTTAGGCTAGAGTTGGAGAGCAGCTTTGTAGAAGGGACTAAACGAGTGGGTGGCTCTAGGATCGGAACATCTTTCGTATTTACGGTGGACGGAACTGTAGAGGCAGGAGAACCATTTGTTCTGGGCTGGGTATCACTGGGAGTGGGAGCAGCTTGTGGAAATTTAAAATCAGGTGGGAGGGGAGCAGGTCGTCGTCCTTGTTCCCGCTGAATCGGTCTTGAAATTTCTGATTGAGAGCGAGAAGGTAGCCGCAGACGTTCTGAACCATATCTCTGGTTGGGTAATGGCAAGTTTGGTGACGAGTCGTTGGATGGAAAACGGTGGCTTGAGGAACGAGGTACTACAGTAATTTGTTAGCACAGAAAATGCAATTCCTTCTTGAATCATGGAGAATTACCAGTACCAGGATGAGAGTTGGCTCCATAAAGCTCATTCCTCTTTGAAAATACCTGAAAGTTTGATGACCCTTGTTTTTCTGGTTCGAGGGAGATGATGGAAAGCGATCTCTTGTGTCTGTGACCCGGAAACTGAGCGGCATTATTATATGGAAGAGTAGTTGTAGATGGGAAACTGTTGCTTAGGGCAAGCGGGGAGCTTAAAGAAGCAGCTGTTCGATGAGCCTTGTCGGAACCCTGTTGACGATTTCTAGGGCTAGTGGCGAGCGAACGGCGATTATTGAAGGAAAATGGATTCAAGGATTTCGCGGGCGAGTAGTTTCCTCCGCTGACAACTCCATTCATGGGGCGCGAGCCTCGTCTGATGTGCTTCTGAGATGCGCTGTCATTCGTGCTCGAGTCATTAGGAGTGACATTCTTGAAAATTATGGTGCATTCAACATCCTCTCCAGCGAATATCGTTTGTTCTTTCCACCGCACGAACACCTGCATGTCAGACTGCATGGTGAGGGGGAAGATATCACTGCATCAGCGGACACTTATTCGTTACGCTCCAAGGCGTTGCTCAAGGGGGGCTGTCATGAAGTGGTTGACTTGAATGCGTTAAGGGTGCAATGAGACTGGGCATGCTGTCACGGCGGAAAAGTGAGAGAGGGTCGAATAAACGAAGGGGAACATCACAGAAGGTAGCAGATGCTCGTTGCAAGTAATACAGTTGTGGGGTTCGGAGCAGAGAAGGATGCCTGGGATAGTGATTGTCTGGATTCAAGAGCTCGAAGTTGGTTTATCGGCGAGATGGTGCTGATAAGTTTAGCGGCGCTTATGGCGGGTAACTAACTACTTTTGCCTTTACACCCAGCAGTTAGTCAATCTACCCGCCGTTCCAAAGTTCAACTGAACCACAAATTAAGATGATGCTTGCGGATATCCCAGATGACTGAAACGTGTATTACAATATCGGGATATTCAATACATGTTTATATCTAGGTATCTAATTCTTGTATTGAGGGCGCATTTTCAATAAAAGATAACCGTCTGTTCCTTGAACAAGCGATGAATCTCAAGCAGCTCTTGTTTTTAAAAATTATCAACCCATAGTTGCAATTTCCTGGCTACATCACTTTGAACTTGCTGTGCGACGACTGTCATATAAAATCCGAGTATCCGAAAAGTCAGCAAATTTTGACCTTTGGGGTCGTACTCCAATTTCCGCTAGTTGATTCCAGATTCTTTTATGCCGCCTTTCCCAGCGTTCCCTCCGCTCAGCAATCACCTCCTCACTTGGTTGCCATTTGCTTTTCAATATCCGTCGGATTGCCTCTGGAGACACTTTGTATTCCTGTGCCAGGAACGGGGTTGTATATTTCGTTGGGTCCTGCTGGTGTAAATGCCGGATAACATCAAGAGTATCTGGGTGCAGACGCTTGCGTGGATTCCATCCCTCCGGGAACTTTTTCTTCAAAGCCTGCTTCTGTATCTGCCATTGTTCTAGTTTCTTAGGCGCATCCAACTTGTCGGACTTGCTTGCCCTGCCAGCTTTGCCTCCTGTAGCTTTAGCACTCCGCGACGCCGTGAATTCTGCTTTGCTTTTTGGACTGATGGGGGAAACTCTTTTGGCTGATTTGGAGCTGGAATCATTGCTATGTCGATCGGGATCGGGTTTGAGTTCCTCCTGTTGATGAGACTGTTCAAACGTTGAGGAGGAATTTTGTGGTTGTTCAGGAGTGTCTGATAAATGTAAGAGAATAGTGGGAGATTTACTGAACTGGCGCCGAGAGAGAGGTTGCCAACATCTGGGTGATGGGCGAGTAGCTGAACATGTTGGACATGGGGCAGTTAAACTGTATCTCCTATATGTTACGGGAAACGGAAGCCGAACGCCCAAGAAACTTCTCAGCAAGCCCGGCACGGCTAATGGGGATGGTAATGAGGATGGTTTTAACATTGGAGTGGATGCTGAGAACCACAGAAATGTGATACGGGGAAGCAATTGGTGAGGCCCCAGTAAACGTTGATGGATATCATTGGATATTTCTCGTCCATGAGATGAGGATCGAAAATATTTCACGTCCTCGTAGATTACATTGCTGTATTTACAGTACTGATTTTGTACATAAATTTCACTTTAACCAATAAGAGCATAGCGTAGTTTGAGCTTA